GGAAAGGAGCCGTCCCTTACCCGGCCCCCACCCGGACCGGGCCGCAAGTGTTAGCTCCGACCAGCAGGGGGAGACGTCGTCCACCGAATGCAAACTGCTGCGTTTCTCCGCACGAATCCCGAGTCTGGGCTCCAGCCCAATGGGGCATGCGGGGTGGAGGTCATGGGGCGTCTTTCAGGCCTGGGTTGTCTGAGCCAGGCTGCTATTCATCCCCACCACATTATCCGAGACAGGGTGCCGAAGAGAAGGGATCCCTTTCCCACTCAGTCTCCACAAGACTCAGGTGCAGGCACAGCCATAACTGGGAGGCTGGCCTCTTTCCTCAGCTCAGCAACTTGCGTGCCTTTCTCTACAGGTGGGCCTGTTGGAGGACACACCCTCAGGGGTGGGTGGGCACCCAGTCCGAGGGAGTTCCTAGCCCGGCGAGAGGGCTAGGGTCCAACTAGGGCTTTGGACGGACAAGTTACAGCGCTGTGGCCAACAGAGGGCGCTGTGCCCCGTGGTGGTTGACCCTCCCGGCGCAGCTGGGTTGGGACTCACCAAGACCTGCCTGCGTACACAGGAGCAAGCACACCAGCCCCGCACATCCGCATTGACCTTTCAGTTGCACCGAAGGGCTGCGTCTTCTGGGCATGGACGGTTCACTCTGTGCGTGCATCAGCCACGTCAGCCCACCCCCATTTTCTCTCACTGCTGGGGACCTGTGTTCCATGTGTTCTCGGAGAGGTACGGTGTGTCACATCCAAGCACACGTGCTCAGTCACCGCTCTGACTCTCTGCTCCACCTGGAGATGGGACCCAGGAAGGAGAGCCTTGATTCTCCTCTAGGAGGTTTCTTCCTCCTCCCACTGCCCTTCTGCCGTGGGCTGCCAATTTTAACCCCGTAGGGAGGTGGACATGCTGGCATGACAGAGAGATGGGGGAAGACAGGGAGTAAGACAGAGAATGGACCGCAGATTGACTGTCTAGATGGACGGCCAGGAGAGGTTGATGGGGGGGCAGCTCTCTCAGCCCCTCCCTGACTCAGTTTCCTCCCCTATTGGGTTTGGGTGAGATCAGGCTCCTTACCTGTCACATTTTGTGGGGATTGGTGAGATAATGCAAGGGAAGCTACCTTGAACTCTTCCCTTCCTGTCACGTTTGTAATGCCCCTCCTCTTTTCTCCCCATACCTTTCTCCTTCTTGCTCCACCCCCACCTGCCCCCAAGTCCCCCAGTCCTCAGCCAGAGCTCGCTTTGCACCTTGTGCACTCAAGAGAGTATGTATACATGCATGCGGACGTACATACCTTCCCACAGAGGTGCCCGCCCCAGCAGTCTGGGGAGCCCAGAGACAGGCCTCTGGGAGGTTAAGAGCACACAGCCACCTGACAGGCTGCTGTAGGCAGCCAGGTGTAGAGCCTTTACAAAAGTCTCGTGAACATGAGAGACCTTAAACTGGCACATGAGCCCCAAACTGGCTGGGCCTGGCAAGGTGCTGGCTGGCACTGGAGCAAGCCCTGGCCCATGGCTGGCTGGCCTCGGGGGGTGAAGAACCTTGTCCCAGGCCAGGCAGGGCCCCAGGCGTCCCTGTTCTAGGCCGGCTGGAAACAAGGGCTGCTGTTGCGCCTAATGCCTTCAGGGTCCAGAGTGGGCGCCCCAGGTGCTGCTAGTCCTGGAGCTGCCACAGCAACCAGGACCCTCCCCACCCCAGCCCAGTCCTCACAGCTGTCTCACTGGAGAGGGGATGGGAGTGGCAATTCCAATAACCAACATTTTCTGACTCAAAGACACTCTTGCAGGTATTAGCACCCTTACTCCTAATGACACGTGGAGAGGTAGGAATTTTAATCTCCATTTTATAAGCGGGGAACTGAAGTCACAGAAGTTAAGCACTGGTCGGGGCACAGTGTACATGACAATGTTCAAACGCTTTCACTTGTGTTGTCTTATCAAAGGTCTCAACAGACAGGCTTTCCTACTGTCTGCTGCCTGGTATGCAGGTAAAGAAACTGAGGCTAGGTAAGCTGCAGGGACTGGTGGGTGCCTGCCTCCCATTCCTCTACGGCCCCGTTCAAGGGGAGGGAAGAAGAGAGATGCCCTTGTGGTTCCTTGGAACAGCCCCCAGGCAGGGAAGCCACTGTGGCAGGGAGGAATGTCGCCCACACTGCCCTTCCTTCATCCCTTGAGTATTTATTGAAAAAATCCTCTAAGCCAGGAAAGCGCAGGACCCTGCGCTGGAACGGTGGAGCCATGAGCAGGCTGAAGCCAGAAGTCACACAGCCTGCCCTGATTCTGCTGGAAAAGAAAATCAGGGCAGGCTTCATGGAGGAATTGGACTTGAACAAAGTCTTAAAAGAGTGACAAAGGCAAAAGGCATTCCAAATTCATGGTCTCTCCGCTCCTGTGAGATCACCAGGCATGTTAATAAAGAAGCCGGGAGAGGGAGACGTGCAAACTGCAGCTGAGACTGGGAATGGCCAAGAGCACCGGCATGTTGAGTCAGGGGACTCAACGCAGGGCTGCCTCTTCCTCCAGAGCACATGGAGGCTGGTGAGGGCACGCGCGGCCACCAGCACTTGTGGCTGGGGAGGAAGGGCGGGAAGAAGTATTGCCTGCCAGCTAGGCTTTCTGGGCGGGACAGGAGGCAAGCTGGAATAGAGCCCAAGAGAGTGGGGCGCTTGAAGGGAGAGGGGAAGGTTTGAAGTCGGCCCTTGAAGAATGGGGAGAGAGCCGCCTAGGGACGGCGGGAGGACTGCCGCAGAGCCGCGGCCCCTGCTGAGGCCACAGACCACGGACCCGTCATGGCTGGCAAGTGTCTCCAGCAGTGCTCAGCAGCGCAGATGGCAGGCAGAGGGGTGTGAGGAGAATGAGAATGGAGAGGTGCAGGTGTAGGGGGTAGTTAGAAAAGGGAGTGAGGACACTGGGGCGCCGAGGTGAGATGCCAGGGCACCTGGCTGGAGAGGGTCGGTGACGCCAGGACAGCGGGAGAGCAGAGGCAATTGGGGGGGCTGTGACTGAGATGGGGGGGTTGGGGGGGCAGGGCCATGAGCAGAGCTGGGATGCTCCCCCGGAAGATTTCAGAGGGCCCAGGCCCTGGTGAGGGTGGAATAAGCCCACGAGGATAGCCAGCTGAAAGGAAGCAGACGTGAAAGCCACCTGCCTCCAGGAGCTCAAGAAACTTACTCATTCCTTTGACAATTATTTACTGAGCACTTACTATGACCAATCTCTGTAAGACGCTACATGAAGGGATGAGCAGACTTGTCCCCTATCCTGACAGGGGCTCACCGTGTCACTAGGGAGACATATTAGCGCCATGCCAGTGCCCTGCGATGACTGTAGTGCACGGAAACGCCCAGGTGTGGTGGGAGCACACGCAGGGCCTCACCCAGGAGAGGAGGAGATGACATCGGAGCCGAGACTTCGGGACGACTAGGGAGCTACCCAGTCAAAGGAAGTGGAAAAGGCTTTCCAAGGAGAGACCAGCTTGGAGTGTTCCAGAACCACTGGCCGTTTGGCAAGGCCAGAGGGGAAAGAGCAAGGCAAGGAGTGGGGAGAGATGAGGCAGGAGGAGCAGGATCCCAGAGGGGCTTGGAGGCCACGCACAGAGCTCACGGAGGGGACAGAGGCTTTGAAGGGATTTTAGCAGAGAAGCAGCAGGATCAGATTTGCATTTTAGAAAGATCACTTGGGCTGCAGTGTGGATAATTGATTGGAACAGAGCAAGGGAGCAGAGAGAGAGAGAATGGTTAAAGGCTGCAGGGCAGCAGGGGTGGTGAGAAGAGAGCACAGTCAAGAAATATTTATGACTGAAAAATCAGCAGGACTTGATGCCTTTAGTGGAGGGGGCAACAGGGGGGAGGAGGGTCAAAGATGCTCCTCAGTGCCTCCAGCTGAGCCGGAGGCAACAGGAGCACCTTGGGGGGGCATGGGAAAGGGAGATCTCATTTTGAGACAGGTTGTATTTGAGGGGCCTGAAGACAACCAGGGGACATCCACTGGGCAGGAAGATGAGGCCCGGGGTGAGGTCCCAGCACCCAGATGAGGTTAAGAGGTGAAGACTATATTATTTTAACAGCTCAGCGGGTTCTCCTTAGGGAGAGAATACCTTTGTTTGGTAATGCCTTGGTATGCTGCTGGGGAAAAAGGGCAGAGCCGAGGGCAGCAGTGCTACAAAAGTGGGTCGGCGGCCCTGCGTGAGGCTTCCGAGGGATTGTTTCAGCCCCTGAGAAGGAGAGCAGAGAATGTAGAGGAAAGGGGCTGAGGCCAAGGAGAAAAGGGAGGGGAGCCGGAAAAGACAGAAGTGGGTGTGCAGCAGAGGTCCCGCCGGCCCACATCCTTAACAGCTCTGTCCACGTCTCCTCTCTGTGAGCGGTGTTTCAGGTGGCGATGGAGGAGAGAGCTTCATTCACATCTGGGTTTATGGGGCACAGTGTGAGGTCATCTGGAGGCAGAGCCCACAGGCAGCAGAGCCAGGAGAACAGGAAACCCCCGTTGTCTTCCCCCGCTTTTGCTAGAATGCACAGGACCCTCTGAAGCAGGCCTTGGACTTGGGTACCTGAGTGATCTTGCTCCATCTAACCTGACGTTGGGGACGAGAGCGCCCTGGAATCCCATGCCCAGGGCTCTGCTCGCCCCTGTGGCCCTCAGGCTGGGCCCGCAGCAGTTAAGCCTGTCCCGCTGGGAAACCTCCTGGCAGGTTCCAGTTCAGTGCCCGGGCACTGCCCCCTCCCCTGGCTGTCAGGTGATCTCAGGGCAGAGCAGGTGAGCACCACCCCTCATGTACCTCCAAACTTTCCACTCATCCCGGCACACATAACCCCCCGGCTCAACCCCCGCCAGCCAGACAGCACAGCCCTGGGGCCGCAGTGCAGTGGAGGAGCCGCAGGTGGGAGCCAGCGGAGCCTCTGCACAGCGAGACAGCCAGAGCGGCGGAGGCAGGAGACCAGAGGCAAGGAGGACAGAGAGAGGCCCTGGGGGCACAGGAGGTGGCAGCCAAGGCACCAGGACCTAGGCACAATGGAGTCAGAAGGGCGCAGCTTGGCCAGGATGCTGGGGCACCTGCTCTGGATGGCCGTCAGCAAGGCGCTCTTTGCCGAGTTCCTGGCCACGGGGCTGTACGTGTTCTTCGGTGTGGGTTCGGCCATGCGCTGGTCCCCGGCACTGCCCTCTGTGCTGCAGATCGCCATCACCTTCAACCTGGCCACGGCCATGGTTGTGCAGGTCACCTGGAAGTCCAGCGGGGCCCACGTCAACCCCGCGGTGACACTGGCTTACCTCGTGGGCTCCCAAATCTCTCTGCCCCGGGCTGTGGCCTATGTGGCTGCCCAGCTGGCAGGGGCCATTGTGGGGGCTGCCCTGCTTTACAGGGTCACACCAGGGGACATCCGAGAGACCCTTGGGGTCAATGAGGTAGGTGCAGGGAGGGGCACCCGGCAGAGCCAGGAGGGAGGTGTCTAAACAGGTGGTAAGCGTGGCGGGCCAGGCTGGAGGAGAGGGGCAGGGGTGACCTCTCAGGTGCACGCTTCACGCCTGCTGTGTGCTGGGCCCGGGGACCCAGGGGAATCAGACGCGTGTGGCTTTAGAGCAGGCAGAGCAGGAGTGGGCCTGCAGTTCAAAGAACCGACGACGGGACAAGCCACAGCAAGGAGCAGGGGTTGGAGCAGGACCAGGCATTTAAGGGCTGGGGCTGCCAGGGAGGGCCGGGCTGTGGGTGGTGGCAGGGACCCTGCATGCTCTCCACCTCCCTCCCCACGGCCCCCATGTTCCCTGCCCCTCTGCTTTCCCATGTTCCTCCCTCCCCAGAACCCTGAGACCTGTTTTATCACCCCCACCCAGAGTCCCCATATCATCTGTGTTCCACCTACTTCCTGACACCTCTTCCCTCCACTCCCACCCAGGTCTGCCCACAGTGAGCTTGCAGTCATGCACCCCAGCACCTCCGCACCTTCCCGCACCCTGCCACCCCGCTAAACCACTGGCCCCAACCAAGCTTTGGGGAGAGAAGGGTGACACTGCTTCTGCCAGGAGCAAGTGTCTGGGGCGGCCCCGAACGCCACTGCACAGTTTTCCCCAAGTCCTGGAACTGGCAGTGGTGAGGTATCGCCCCCTTACAGCGAGGAAAGGAGGCCGGGGGTCACCGTGCCCTGGCAGAAAGCCCGTGGACTCCAGTGTAATCCTCTCACTCAGATCCGGAGCAGCATCTCGACTGGCCAGGCGGTGGCAGTGGAGCTGGTCCTGACCCTGCAGCTGGTGCTCTGTGTCTTTGCTTCCACCGACAGCCGTCTCACATCTGGCTCCCCGGCCGCCATGATTGGGATCTCTGTGGCATTGGGCCACCTCACTGGGGTAAGGGGGCAAAAGGGATGCAGTGCACATGCACACTCTGCTCCCTCCCTCGAAGGGTTGCAGGGGTCCCGAAGGCCAGGCAATGTCCCTCCCTGAAGCCCTCATGCCTTGGGGCCCGGGCTATGCCCCACACTCCAGACCCAGGGTATGGCGCTGCAGAGGCCAAAGCTGAAACTGGGGCTCTGAACCAAGACAGAGGGGGCTGCCCCCGCCCAGGCCCGCCTTAAGCCTCTTCACTCCCTGAACCTGCAACCACTACCCAGGTCTACTTCACTGGCTGTTCCATGAACCCAGCCCGCTCCTTCGGTCCCGCTGTCATCGTTGGCAAGTTTGAAGTCCACTGGGTGAGACCCTCTGCTGGCAGCCGTGGGAGAGGCGAGGGCCCGAGTAGGGGCAGTAGGGACTGTGGCTTTCACCAGCGGCTGGCAGACAGGTCTCCCTGCCACAAACCATCTTGACCCCCAGTGGAGGTTTCCCTCAACTCAGAAGGCCAGGGCAGGTGTCCCGGCTTGTACTTCCGCTCTTTGCAGCTTCCATAGCCCAGGTCCCCAGTGGCAAGAAACGGGCCAGAGCAGGGACCAAGTCCTGGCTGTTTCCTTATTCACTTTCTCTAGCTGGACCAATTTACAAAGTTTGATAAAGAAAAAGACAAACAAATAAATGTACATGCCAACAAAGACAGGAACAGCACTAGCCAGAGCTCCTGCCTGGTACAGAGGAGGAGAGAGGGAGGAAGGAGTGGTGAGGAGACGGCATTGCTCGGTGGGAGGCAAGATCCCCTCACCTGCAGGGACTTTGGGGGGTGGGGGGCAGGGCAGACTTGTGCTTCTCAAATTTGCCACCTTTGAGACAGCCCAAGGGTTCCTGGGAGACTAAGTCAACACTGGGGAAGCAGGCAGGGGTCCCAAAGCCACCCTGTGATGCTGATAACTCGCAAGCCAGGTCCTCGCTTTTCTCTGCCTCCTTAGATCTTCTGGGTGGGACCCCTGTCAGGGGCTATCCTGGCTTCGCTGATCTACAACTTCATCCTGTTCCCTGACACCAAGACCCTGGCCCAACGACTAGCCATCCTCACAGGCGCCGCGGAGGTGGAGAACGCGGTGGGGGCGGAGCCCCAGAAAAAGGAATCCCAGTTCAGCAGACACCCGAATGGAGAGTGTGTGTCAGACAGCATGGAACTTGGCCCCTGCCCTCAGGCTTCTGAGAGCTCTGTACCTGAGCAGCAGAATGACATGATCACATTTCAGGTTTTCTGAGAGGAAAGGGAGGTGGTTAAAGGCGCGTAGGGAGGCTTGGCCTCCTGTTCAAACGGGGTGGGCGGAGGACGCCAACCCCTCTCCCAGGCATCACATTTCTAGACAGAATGTGGGGAGCATATCTGTTATTTCCTCCTCCTCCATCTCTTAATGGGACAGAGCAGAGGGAGGAAGGGGAATTCATGATTGCCCTCTCCTTCTCTCATCCATCTGGACTCCAGATCCCCATGTCTTGGAAAAAAAGAAATTAGAACCCAGACAGCCGGTTTGCTTGGAGACTGAGGGCTAAAGGGATCCCAGGGAACCCCAACTTCTCACCCCACCCTCAGGGAGGAAGGGCCCGCCTCCCCAAAAGACTCGGAGTTGCTCAGAAGAATGTCTCGCTCTTGGGTGTGGTGTGGAGGGCTATGGCTTCCCCCTCAGACTGGGGTCTTCCTGAGGACAGAGATTAACCTCATTTCCCCGAACGCTCGGGAGGAGCTGACAGAGAAGAAGCGTTTCTCAGGTTAGCAGAGGGGCAGGCTCACAGGCCAGGAGGGTTTGAGCCAGGCGGGCCTTTTCCAGGGCAAGCTCTTCTGGGTGTTTGCCTGTCCGCTACTCCACAGTCCCCTTCACAGGGATAATTCTGAGAGGGGGGGGGGGCCCAGCCCAGCTTCTGATCCACGACCTGGGCCGCAGAAGCTGTCTCTAGCCTCATTCTCAGATCTGCAGGGACTCCCCAAAAAGCTGTTGGATAAGTCCCAAAGATGGCAGGAATGGCCCAGCAAACCCAGATTTTCAGTTCAGTGCCCCTGGAGGACTACTGGAGTCTCAGCTGGTTTGTTAGTATTTACAGGCTGCAATAAATCGACTGTGCCCATGGCTTGGGGTCCTATTTGGATCCTGGCTTCCCCAGCTGGTAAATGGGCACAAGCCTCCCCCAGAGACAGCAGTGAAAACAAACGAGAAATTGGAAAATGTTTTTGGAAGTTAAAATGTTAGAAAAATAAAGCCAATAAATGATGATTATCGTTGCTATGACTGTAATTATTGGGTTTGAATACAATTGCTGTTGGTAATGGGAGAGAAGAAGGGAGAGAGCGAAATGATTGAGAGGGAGGCAAAGAGAGTATAAGTTTTTGTCATTTCATCTGTTCCAATTACGGGGGCCCTGCCTCCTTCTCTGCTGGGTGTACTGACCTGGGAGCTTTGTGTGTGTGGGCTGAGTGTGTGTGGAGCTTTGTGAGGAAGAGGGGGTATTAGGGGAGGGACCCTGGAATGAAGAGGCAAGCCAATAAAAGTCAGTTCTTCTCATCTCTATGGTGCCCATCACCATGGTATTCGAGATGCAGCAACCAAGTCATTAAATAGATAGGTCCTCTTCCATTATGTCTCCAGAGGGGCTGGGGGTGGGGGAGAGGCTGCCAAAGTCTTCCAAGGGCTGGGTGGCAGGGCCCAACCTGTGACCACAGCAGTAACTGAGTGCCCGGTACTCATGGCCACAGCAGCCGTGACCAGTGTTCTGTAATACTGTCAGTGTGGAGGACTATTCACATCCCTCCAAGCTGGGCCGCACTCATCCATCTTCACATTCTCTCAGAGCCCAGGGCTTCTTGTGCCCTTTTATGAGCCGGGACAGCTGGGTGTGTGTGCGTGCGCGTGTGTGTAGGATGTGATTGACTTGCTAAAGGTCACCCAGCTCAGTACTGCAGCCCCCTCAGGCCTCCCCTGCTCCCAGCTTAGGATTTTCCAAGAGCTTTCCAGGGGGCTTATACAAGCTACAGCCAGGGGACGGGAGGAAGCAGGAACTAGAAGGTTGAGGAGGGCAGGGGGTGGAGCTCCTGCAGTAGTCCTTTAAGCTCCTAGACAAATTATCTCTGCATCCCCAGAGCCGAACACACACTGGGCACTCGATAAAAGTCTGATGAATGAATGGCTGAGGCTGGGTGGCTGGGAGGGAGGGGAAGCAGTCATTGATCAAGAAGAGAATTCAGGAATTACAGCTCCAAATGAGCCCAGATGACAGCAGCTAAGGAGCCTGTGCTTGCCAGAAAGAGTAACTGGGGAGAGGGCGCACAGTCACACTTGAGTCCCCACCCCTATTCTAGAGCCACCTGGGTAACCTCTGTCCCGGGAACTTCGGGCCACAAGGGTAAGAGTGACTGCCTGAAGAGAAAGCTGGGGGCCACTTTCACAAATAGCTGTTTGAAGCTGTGCTGTCGGAACAGACTGGAGGAAGGAGACGAGCTTTGTGAGGAGCGAGGAATTAGGTTAGAGTCTGAAGAGCATCCAAAGTTAGACAGGAATGAGTAACCAAAGGTGAGCTTCTCCTCTGTAGCCCTTCGGAAGGACAGCCAGCCATCTGTTTGCATGAGGGAAAGGCTGGCCTTCAGGGAGCCCAGTCTCAGCGGTTCCTGCCAGGGGCAGCGGGCTTCACAGTCACAGCCCCTGGGCTTGGGTGGGAGGTGAGCAGCACAGGGTGGGGCCGAGACCCAACGAAGCAGACCCTTGGTGTGCACTCCCCTCCGCCCATTCGTCAGGGGAAGTTTTTAATTAATGGTGTGTAATCTGATCTGGCCCTTCTCCCTGCTGAGCACTGCCTTCAATCAGCAGAGCCATCTGCAATTGCAATTCATAATTCTCCCCAAAGGGAGGGGGACTCCTGACGGGTGCCTTGGTGATTAATACAATTAGCCTTTTATGTTGATGATTGTCTTAGCAGGAGCAGATGATGCCAGCGCAGAGCCTAGGCTGTCGCTTCCCCATTGGTTGGCAGGAAGCCCCTCTCCACTTCCCACCCCCTCTGCTACCTCGGGGTGTAAAGAGGACAGGTCTAATTTGGGACCACACTGTGGAAGGGGGAGAGCCCAGGAAAGGCCGGGTTCTGGGACACATTTGGGTTCCTCGGACTGCGGATAAGCCAGACACTTGTTCTCCCAAGAAAATCATTTTGACCTAAAGGATTCTGTACCCCAAGGTTAAAGCAAAAAAGACTACATAAAGGTAGATGAGGGGTTGAAAGGGTTTAAATGCAGGCTCAGGCACTTAGAGCTGTGTGCACTTGAACAAGTTACTAAGGATCCTGAGCCTCACTTTCCTCATCTGGAAAATGGACTCTATTCCTGAGAGGGTGGGAAGAACTGTGTGGAGTGTGCGGGCCCCACACCACGCCTGGCACCGAATCAGCGGTACACATTCAGCGGTAGCGGGTCCCGCCACCATCGCAGTGGACCACCATGCCCTCTGCCAGTGAGTCTGGCTGTCTCCCCTGTGGTTTCTAATGCAGCCCAGCTATCAGTAAAAAAGGGATCACTTCCTCCCCATACCCCAGACTCAGCTTGAGCAAAGGGGAGAAAGTATATGAGTGTGTTGGGAGAGGAGGATCCAGAGGAAAGAGGAGTCAAGAATCAAACCCAAACAAGAGAAATGAGGGCCTCAGAACAGAGAAGTGGGACACCAGAGTGACGGTGGCCGGGAGCTCGTTTGGAGGAGATTCAAGGAATGAGGGTAAGGAGGCTGAGTGGGTATAAAGGGGTGGAAAGAAGCAGGGCTTTGAGCATCTGGAAAATCATGCGACAGCAAAGTAAACAAAAAAGGAGTAATCACTGTAGCTGAGGGTTTAAGAGGCAGCACAGATCAAAACCTGTGACCTCTCATCTGTAATGAGGTCAAGTGATCTGGAACAAGATGACTGGGGTTTTGATGGAAGAATCAACTGGGTCAGGAGAGGGGATCCCCTCAGTCCCTCGGGGCCCCTTCCCCCAGATCTGGAACTGCATGAGAAGAGCCAGTGCCAGGCCTGGCAGTGGCAGGGGGAAGACGGAGAGTGGGGAGGTGAAGGGCTGATCAAGATGAAGCATCGGGCCAAGCTATGGCCACTCGGGCCGCCGGGGCGGGGGTCCACACAGCCAAGATCTGTAACTGAGTCTGAGGGAGGGGCAGCCACACTAAGGAATGGTCACATACTTATCAGTAAAGGCTGCAGAAGGGAGGCAGAGTTTGTGAAGGGTGATTATGAGGGTGGGGAGTCCAACAGTACAAATTCAAAGGCAGCCATTAATGGGCAGAAAGGGAGAAAATGAAAAACTGTTTCAGAGCTCTAAGTCAGATAAAGGGACAGTTGTTGCCAGGGACAGAGGCAGGGGCCAACAAGCCCATCCCACCCCCAAGGACCAATAAAACAAAGCGCAGCCAGCCCGGTCAAAGGAGAGGCCGGGACGCAGGCGCGGGTGTCCGGCTGTGGCGCACCAGGCTGGAGGCGCTTCCCTGGCCTGGAGTGCGCTTCCGGGCCTTCTCTAGCTGCCTCGTTCATCCTGAGATCCAGCTTTAATGTCTCACCTTCCAGGCTCTCTTAAGCCTCCCTCCTCTGAGCTCCTGCAGCACTCAGCACCGACCTCAAGTTATGTGAACACTTTTCTCTACTAAACAGGAAGAGCTTCTTAAAACAAAATTGTATTTTGAGTCTACTTCTCATCTCAGGGCAATAGCTTCCTTGGCTTCTGTCCTTTTCTTGTAGGTCCCCAAACCATGGCCTTCCAGTCTCCAGGGAGGAAAAGCCCTCCTCTGGTTTTGTGGATGTGGTGAGCACACTGGACAAAGGATCAACACTCCCAACCCCCTGCCCAGAGTATCTAACACTTCTGACCCCTTCTGTGGTAAAGCGCCCTGAGTGTCTCAGTCCTACACTGTGATTTCAGACAACCACCAGGATGTTCCTTCCATATTTTGGTCCTGGCCTGCTTACCTGTGGCTTTCCCCTCCTCGTCTGACTCAGGGGTCACACGTTACAGCATAGAGGTCATGACTGGGACAGATGTTGACCCTGTCCTACACATGCTCCGTGCCACATGTCCTGGAGCCGAGCCTTGCTTTTCCTATACTTCGGCTTCCCTCTGACGTGAGGGAACTCCCTGTTTCAATCTTTCCACAGCTAGGATGCAGGGTCCCTGGCCTCCATATCTGATCTAGCCAACAGCTGATCTCCCACAAACAGCTGACACT